TTGGTGTCTGCTCCTGACTCCTCTCCAAAAGCATGGCAGAGGGGATGTTAGCAGCCTGCCATTTTGTCAGTGTGAATTCATTACATATGTGCCAAACAATCTGAACCATCTGTTACACAAGGGTGAGCAACAGGAAGGCTATTCAGGCACCTGGGATAATGATGGCATTTTGAAACACCTTGCTGGGTAATACAGCAGGTCAGAGATCAAGTGATCATTAGAGATCTTCTCCCTCAGGATCACAGGTGCACTGTTGAGCCTTGGCAATAGGAATAGTTTGGCCTTGCCAGAAGGGGCTGTTACCACCCTGGAGAACCTCTGAACCTCTGTAAGGTGAGGGCAGCTTCAGCAGTGCAGCCCCCAAAGGGAAGAGAGAGCTGCTGCTTATTGAGAGTATATTTGCCAGACATAAAAATCAGGTGTCACGAGGTTGTGCCCAGGACAGAAGATATGCAAGAGCTGAAGGATGGAATGCAGGTGACTCTTCTGCATACTAGCACTTGTGCCCCTGACTTCAGAAACAGTCCCAGAGTGCCAGATTTTGTCCATCTGTTGAGCTCCTTGTGTCTGCTAGGTCTGAAACTATCTGAAACTGTCTATCTATCTGAAACTATCTGGGAAGAGACTTAAGTATATGCATACTAGCGTAGACATTTGGACTTGGGTCAGAGATCAGAATTGGGGGCTGCCTGTCTGTCACCCTTCAAAGGGCAATGCTTTGCTGTCAACTTATACTGCTCAACAGAAGCAAATGCCATCAGGAAGTCTTCAGATGGATGTGGAGACTTTCGGACCATGCTCCGTGAAATGCCATTATACAAGAGCTCTCAAGCAGTCAATGCAGCACAGAATAGCCCAGGAGCTGCCAAATGTTGTAGCTAGCATTTCTCCAAATATAAATACCTTCCTTCCCTCCCCCCCAGTTCAGAGGTAAAACATGAGTTGCAAAGGATTTGATGACCAGTGAAGTTAATGACACGATGCTATTTGATTTCAGTATTTCCTCAAGGTATTGCCCAAGGGATGAAGTCGCCTGCAACTTTATTTGGCCAGGCCATAAGGCAGATGTGTTTTTGGCACACAGCTGCTGTGCTGTGCAGTGCGGTCTGTGTGCATTCACACAGGGCATAAGGTGATTCCTGGAAGCACCTGACTTGCTGTGCTGCAGGCTGTGGACTGATATTAGGACTCTGTCCTGTCCCTTCTCCCAGTACATAGCTCTCGGAGGTAGGGTGAAGTGATGAGGAAGGGATGCAGGATAGAGCTTGATAAACATATTAAAGAAAAATCCTCTTATAATTAAATTGTTCACCACATCTCTGTACCCCTTTTTCCTTCCTCCCTTTCCTGTACACCTAAGGAAAACTCCATTAGTCTGAGTCACCCTTGCACTAATGCTCAGGTCAGTGGCACTCTCATGTGCTCTCTATCTTCATCCTTTGCTCTTGTGTTGACTTAAGGAGAGTTTGCACTCTTAAGGAGAATTAACTGCTGGTTGATACCCCAGAAAGGCAAAAAAGGCCACCATGAATACTGCAAAGGCAATAGATGAGACAAATAATGTTTTGGGTAATCTGCATTGTCATCTTTGTACTACAGTATACTTAGAGGGAGTACAGTAATAAAAAGCAAATGTAGGAGAAGGCATGTTTAAATGAAAACAATTTTTTCTGTTCACAGTGTTGAACTTTGGGATTTCAAGCATGAGCTGATTCTTGTAAAATCTCTATTGGAATATATTACTCTGCATTTGGGATTACAAAGAAGTACTTTACTGCAGTAACTAACTGGCTTTTGAGAAGAATTTATGATAAGAAGGAAAAAAAATTGCTATTCTCCGTTTCAAAACAATGATGCCGTTGTATTTGTGCCTTTTTCACGTTCAGTTGTTTCTAAAGGGGAATGCAGGATAGTGAGCTTTGCTGTCATGAGGTCTGGTCACCCAGCCACCACGTTTCTGGACACCTTGAGTTCTGCACATCTCCCTAATGGTCCACTGAAGTGGCTGCAGCAAAAGTGACTGTTCTGTCTTGGAGGGAGAAGTGAGATTGCTGTGCTGGGCCACAGGATGGAGCTGCTGGGTGTAACGTTTGGAGAAACTTTTCTTGACTGGGAGACCTAAAGAAAGAGCATGTCTGTGGCTTCTGACCTACACTTTATGCTGGGTAAATCTTGTTGGAGCGACCAGCTGCTTCTTATGTGAAGCCCTGGACTGGAAGGAGACCGCAATTATCTGATATATTGGCAGGAGTAAATCTCAGTCCCTGTGGCTGGGTTCAGAGATGATGCAGTCCTAGAGCTGCAATGTGGATATGACACTTAAGAAAGTGTGCAAGGCTGGAAGATGCTGGGTGGGCAGGGATGAGACTTGAGTCTAGAGACTAGCAAGTACAGGATGTTTCTAGTAGTATAGAAATGAGAGGAAATGGGTGATGGATTCTCTGTGCCAGGGATGCAGAGACTCTAGGAGCTCATGTACGGAGATTGGGCAGTAGTTGCAGCTTGCAGCAACTTGGGAGGTAAAGCGTGGTCTTAGGGATGCTGGGAGTGATGAAGGTAAGGTGTACAGGGTTGGAGTCATAGTAGAAGAAATAGTGATCAGGAATGTCTCCCCTTTAGTGTAGGCAAGAAAAGCAAATTTCCTGGTATAGGCAGGCAAAGAAATGTTTTAGTCTTGTCTTTCTTGTGTTCCTGGCAGCATTATGAACATCTGCTGCCATCTGCCCCGGAGGTGCATGACTTTGAACATGGGGTCATTGGTGATGCTGTTTGGGTGGGTTGGCTGTTTTTTCTTTCCCAGCACTCTGTGGGAGCAGGCACTATCCCACATGGTCAAGTGTCCTTTCCCTCACTCATTGCCATGTAGGACATCTCCCTGCCCGGGGCTGAGACAGCATGTGCTACCCCTCACCATGGGCAACAGTTGACTAGGTGGTACTGCTGAGCCTCCTAACTGCTGGAAGTGCTTTTGCCCTCTAAGCCAGCGTGTTTACTCAGCCAGTAGTTTACTATTCCCTTACTAGTATGAACCTTTCATAATCTCACTGAGCCTTGTCACAGCATCCTCAGGATTCACCAGGCTAGAGACGGTTACTGGGATATCCAGCTACAGGAGTGTCACATGCCTGATCTTAAGAAATGAACTTTCCGTTAGGACAAATCCTAGGTAGCTAAATGATTCATTCCCAAAATGTATGACTATGTTCAGCTAACTTTTGTACTCGTAGATATAAAACTTCATTAGCACATTCACTTGCAGAAAATGTAAATGTGCTCAGTATAAATGTCAAGATAGTTGCTGTCCTGAATGAACATTTCTTTCCTGCATTTGAATCCTTTTTTTGGCATATGAGAAAAATATATGAGAGTTGAACTTGGCAGCTGGCAATTTGTGCTTGACCTGTCATGTGCTGAGCACGATGGGAATAGGTTATGACAGATTTGTCATTCTTAACACTGAGTTTGTCGGTGCCTTGTTAGCACTGAGGGATGTGCTTCACAGGATTTCCTGGAAGAATAAAAAAATGCTCATGTAAAATTAAATCACAATTAGGAAGTTTCAGTTTTGAGACTTCACAAAATCTTGAACCTGGAGGCTATAAAAACCTGAGCTCTAAATTTGGCAGTTAAATTTGGCTGTTTCTGCAAACCTTTTGCAGAAGGTTTGGCATGTTCCCCATGGGATGTTCCTTCCATCATTTTCTTCTACCTACTGCCCTTAAAATGAGTTCCCAGAGATCGGATCTATTATTTGTTTTTATTTTGCCCACCAGCTGCTCTTTGTTCCTTCCATTCACAGTAAGGTTGCCTTTTCAGGGTTTGGCTGTCTATTCTTCCCTGCTGGCAGAGAATGTGCAATAAAATGACCCCAAGAAGAAAGTGATTTAGGACAAAGGGCCAGAGAGATGGAGGGGATTGTGCTGGCGATCCCAAGATGCTTTAGAAGAGTGGTTTCTGTTGCTAGGCCCTACGACACTGGTAACTCTTTGTACTTCCTGAGTCCTATTTGTAAGACAATTGCTGCATTTCTTTGTTTAGAGTTGATGCAGTTTGATATGAGACTATTCCACAGAACTAAGGAGACCAATGTAGTCAAGTTTTAGGTTGTACAACTTTGGGAACATTTCTGTTAAATTCCCCTCTTTCTCTCTCTTCAACCATGTTAAAGAATCAGTGAAATATTTTCTGATAATGAATATCTGAATATAATTTCGTGATTCCCTCTCTGGGTATTAGCCTTATATTAAAAGGAGTTTAAATAATGAAAAATTCCTCCTCGGTCAAGTTTAGGAGCGTTACTTATGGTTGTGAAGGTGAAAAGTGGATGTTAAAAACCTGAAGCAACTATAGTATGTATTTACTAAAGCTATAAGTATATGGCAGGGTAACAGATACATGTTTATTTTTTTGGCATGAAAGCTGTTTTTCCAATCATTTTTTGGCAGCCAAGCAACAGAAATCTGTGATTACAAGTCTGTGAATCTTTAATGCTAAAAAGCTTTCTAATAACTAAAACTGTGCTTTTTTAAGTGGACCATTTTAACAAATCCTTAACTTTCCATCAAAAAATAATTTAGAGAGCAGCTTTTCACCATTCTTACAGTTTTGTCCTCCACGATGAAAGCTGTACTGGAACTGGACTTCCTCCTCCAAACAGGTGAATCCTTTAGGTTTTTATCTTCACCTCTCTTTGCTTCTGCTACATCAGGTTGGTCTTATCTCATGTTCTTCATATAAATATTTCTCAAACTGGAGTGAGCATTGATTCCATCTGCCTCTTGGCTAAAATCCTGCTCAGATGGTGCTGCAGTGAAGCTCATGTACAGATGAGAGAACTGGACAATGCGGCTGCTTCATCATCCAGGGTCTTCAAGTTGATTGTCTAAGCATGCTTCTTTGTGCTTTTTGTTAGATATGATTCTTTTGTCTCCTTCTCCAGTCAATAATAGATATATATCTTTTCAAGCTCCTAATTAAAACTCTAACTTGTGCTTTTTTAGGTCACAGAGCTCAACAATGTGAAGAATATATTACGAATGCCAAAAAGCACAAAGAAGCATGCAGTTGGAATTTATTTTAATGATGACACATCAAAAACCTTTGCTTGTGAGTCAGGTGGGTAAAATGGCAATGCACCTTAGCAAACGGAGCATTAATTGTGAAATTATAAATGTATTATATACCTACACACAGATTTTCTGGGCATTTATACAGAACTTGAAGCAGATGAGTGGTGCAAGGTGCTGCAGATGGAGTGTCTTGAAACGCGGATTAATGACATTAGCCTTGGAGAGCCTGACTTGCTGGCATCTGGAGTAGAGAGGGAACAGAGTGGTAAGTACATAAATATTGACCTTTTAAACCTTTATTTGCATTATTTTAAAGTCTTTTGGACTATGCTCATGAATATCAGAAGTAAAATGGAGCAGAATGGTTTGTTCCAAGCCCTCCTTCCTGTTTTGTGGGGAGTTGTTTTTGTTTTGGGTTTTATTGTTGGCTTCTGGGTGTTTTTAATTGCTACCAGAGATAATAAGTAAGGTAACAAGAATTACTTTGGAGAAGCACTTTCCTTTTTGAGACAAGTTAGTTGCTCTTGAAGACGGGGACTATCCGTTTTTTGTGTATTCTTGTATGATGTCTGTACAACAGTTTCAGTCTGTGACTGGGGCTCTTTGGCAGCATTGTAAAGCAAATCAATAACAGTAATTGCATGCAAAACCTGAGCCCATGGCTGCTTCACTTTCCTATGTAAATGAACTGATTACATGCAGAAATGCATTTGCAATGTATTTATTCATGCACACAATTTTAGTAACTGTTTGCAAATATCAGGCTAAAGATGGTGCCATTCTATTCAGTGTCTGAATGCATGTACAAATGTTTGATGTCCTATGAATGAAGCATTCTGACTACCCCAGACATGAAGTTTATTGGGTTACTGGAAGGAACTGAGTCTTTGTTTTTGAATTAATTGTTCTAAGTGGAAATAAGATCTTATCTTAGATATGGAAAACAGGAAATTCCTTTAATGAATTGCACATTTAATGGGCAGGGATTTTAGACTAACCTTTTGTTTTTCTCCCAGAGAGATTCAATGTGTATTTGATGCCATCCCCTAATTTAGATGTGCATGGGGAATGTACCTTGCAGATAACATTTGAGAATATCTGTCTTTGGGACATCCAGAATCCCAGAGTAAAACTCGTCTCTTGGCCATTAAGTGCCCTCCGGCGCTATGGACGGGACCCCTCTTGGTTCACATTTGAAGCTGGGAGGTAGGTCTGTGTTCACTACATTGCATTACTTTCCTCAGAGGTGCTCTAGACCACTTCTGCAGAGTGTTGAAGGACATGAGAGCTTGTCCTCAGACAGAGGTTAATCTGTACCCTCTGCTAAAAATACATAAATTATGTTTATGAATATATAAATAATACATATTCATAATATATTAATATATATTTATAAACATAATTTATATATTAAAATAT